ATTCAAAATGGCCAATACCAGTCCATTTCAGCTCACTAATGCCTACTCTGACTACCCAATTTCCTGTTATATTTATCATCCCCTTAAAGTTACTTCAGTCACAGTGGGGGGGAAATTTTTATGTGCATTAAAACATTTATATTTGGAGAAAGGAAGTTGCAAAATTATCTTTTAGCTCTAAACAGCTAAACAGTGCTCAAAGACATTCATTGGGAAATCTAGTTAATCCAAACAGATTACTGATATTTAATTGGATGGTTTGAGATATAGCTACAAGTATCTTAGGGATCCCTACATACAGTGAATTAGAAGTCCTTGGTTTTTGAAAGAATATATGTAATATCACATAGGATTTTCATTCTGCTTTTGTGCCAACAGAGTGGAAAGAAGAAGAGGACTCCCTCGCCTCCTTTGTACCCATCTCTGGGTCAAGGTCACATGGTAAGAACTGTCAGCATAGGCCAAGGTATGCCCAGTGTCATTCATTGAAGTGATGCACAATTCTGAAGCTTTCAGGTTAGCTGCAACGCTTCCTTTAATCTAGAGGGAAACACTAGTCTAGAACTAAAGACCCTTCATTTATGAAATGTCTACTGAGCACCAGCTATTTGCCCAAACCTGCATATAAATGGTTTCAATCAACACCTGCTACCATATCGCTCTCCCAGGTCTCTCCATTTCTGTTCCCCCACGGGAGGCACCTCGGAAACATACCTGCATTGGGGTAACAGAGCACATAGGCTGGTGTACATTTTCCAATTGTTTCAATAAAAGGTCTCATTTCAGCTGCGCCCAGGGCACAATTTAATCCAATGCTGGAAAAACAAAACGAAGACATCTGAAGCACTACCTTCCTTTCAGCATATTTATCTGCGTAAAAAATGGTCTAAAACCAAGCCAACGATGAACCTCCTAGGACGTCCTATGCTCAGCTGGAGTCTGAGCCATCTCACTGAGGTATCCTGCCCACTGCGCTTTTTAGCATTGTCTCCAACTTCGGGTGATCTGAGAGCTAGAAGAGCATGCCTACGGATGGTGATGGTGTTGGTGGTGGTGCTGTGCCATTGAATCAGTTCTGACTCAGAGCGACCCTATGTAGGGTTTCCAAGGCTGTAAATCTTAACTGGAGCAGAAAGCCTCATCTTTCTCCTGCAGAGCGGCCAGTAGATTTGAACTGCTGACCTTGTAGTTAGCAGTCCAGCTCATAACCACGCTACCAGGGCTCCTTATCTATGCCTATGGATGTTGTTGTTGTTAAGTGTCTGACAGATAGTGACTCTGTGGAAGGTTTCCAAGGAGCAGCTGGTGGGTTTGAACTACCAATCTTGTGGTTAGCAATCCAGTGCTGATCTTACAGCACCACACCAGAGGTCCAGAGTTTATTTAAGGTACCGTATCTGTATACGTAAGCTTATAGATATGGAACCTTAAGTAAGCGCTGGTTAATTGTACACTGTGAGATTAAAAATTTCAGCAAACTACCTCTGCTAATAAATATCGGATCTGAAGGCAGGTCTTAATGAAAGGAAAATCTTGGTGACAGTGTATATTGTATTCCAAAGTTTATAGCAGGATCTTAATAAATGTCTGACTAATTAAAAAGTGTTGTTGTTGTTGTTGTTGTTAAGTGTCGTTGAGTAGATTCTGACCCATAGTGACCATATATAGGGTTTCCAAGGAGCAGCCGGTGAGCTTGAACCACCGACCTTGCAGTTCAATTGACTTTGCAGTCAGATGCATTAAACCACACAGCCACACTGAGACTCCAATAACAGTATAAGGATTGTTAAAACACTTAACATTTTTGTGACAATCACAAATCAGTAAGTGATCGTTTCTGAATCTTCTTCACATATTGTCTGTGTGTCTCTATTTTAATTAATCCATTTTACTTTTTTGACCAAACTTCTCTACAACCCTTTCTACTGTACCAGGATGAAAACTCAAAAGTCCTAAACAGCGGACAACATACACAGGATCCAATCAAAGCCTCCAGTTCCTTGGCTGCCTTCTCTGTGTCCCTGAAATCTGTAAGATCCTTAACAAAATGGAACCTAAATGGATTCTCTCTTTGCTATAGATGAAGGTATAAAATAGATTATACAATGTCAACAAAAATAACCACAGAGTGATCCATAAATCAGAATTAACTGCATGCTTGCTCAAAAATAGAAAACTAAGTGATTTGGAATGCTAATACAAGCTCATCTTTGGGTTCCTGAAAGTAAGGTGTGTCCTCTGAGGGTGTCCACTAAGACTACAGACCTGGGAGGAGCCTGGGATGATACATCCAACAAGACAGAGGTTTGATTTCATCTGGAGAGACTGATACAGATAACAAATAAAGTTGAAGCAAAAGGGTGGGAAAGAGAGAGGAAAAAATTAGTTTGTCTTCAGAGAGTCTTCACTTTCCTCCCTTCAGTTTTTCTTTTAAGTATTTACTGAACTCCTACTGCATGCCAGGAGCCCTGGTGTGGCGCTGTAGGATAAAGCACTAGACCACAAGGTTAGTTTGAACCACAAGGTCAGTGATTCAAACTCACCAGCCGCTCCTTGGAAACTCTCTACAAGGTCATTATGAATCGAAACCAACTTAACAGCACTTACCAACAACAAACTAAGTGCCAAGATCTCTAATAAGCTCTACAGAAATAACGGCAATTAAGACACTGCTCTGGGAATGCTCATATCTGCCGAGAAGACAATGACAATCAGTCTAATAGTTATCTTCTTAATTATCAGGTGCCATCAATTGTGTATCAATGCAATATACATTAATAAATAATATTAAAATAGATTCCATGAAAACGTATGACCACATGACATCAGCTGTAAGATACACCCTGAAATTTAAAAAAAGGCATTAAAATGTGAAAAAGATGAGCACATAGTTGTGAGAATGTGATATAACCAGTGGTTAAGAGCAACTTTGTATCCCTGGGCCCACTACTTACATGACTTTGGGCAAGACAACAGCTTCTGAGACTGCTTCATTAAAATAAGGATTGTAACAACAGTACTAACTGCAAAGTGGTAATGTTAGAATTAGAAGAAATAGTTCTCTTAAGGACTTAGAGCCATCATACAACAAGGTCTCAATAGATGGTCTCTACTACTGTCTATACGGCTTGTGCTTTGCCAGCTGTGAACTGCTTCCCTGAGAACACTGCCGGAGGCTGCTGAGAGAAACGATTCTGACAGGGTGCTTACGATGAGACTTACAGGCTCAGAAAGACTCAGCCCAGTGAAGAGGCTCACGATGAAAACAGCATGGCCTTTTGGAGTTTCCACTTCAGTCATGTATGTAAATTGTAAATATTTTGAAATTAAAAAAGAAATAAAAATATGGAAATATTTTAGAGTAGAAGGCAAAAAACAACTTATTTTTTTAGATAAATTCTGAGCTTCAGAATTCTGGCCATACCCAACACTAGGTTGCTTTGTGGCTGTTCCAAAACCGGGGAGTAGAGGAAAGGTTTTGCACAATATTGTGCTAGAAACAAATGACTGATAACAGCTCTAAGGTCCTTAAACAACAAGGACACCAGTTACAGAAACAAAGGCAAAGTCCCTCAAATGACCTCAAAATGTCCCAGGTGAAAATGGAACTAGAACACAGACAATGAGAATGTTCACGCAGGGTGGAGAATGTAACCAGCATTCTGAGAATGTCACTGAACAACTCGGGTGCACATTGTGGAATGCGGACTTACAGCACTGTGTAAATCTTCACTGAAACGCTAATAAAATCGTATTTGAAAGAACAAAGCCAGAACAGGTGGAAATGGTACAGTGGAAATATGTAACTAGCAACATCCTTCCAGACAATGAAAAACAACCAATTCCAACCACGTCACACTTTATATTGTTAGTTGTTAATTGTCATCGACTTGATTCTGACTCATGGTAACCCCAGGTGTGCAAAGTAGAATAAGTTTTCAAGGTTGAGACCAGAGCACCAGGCCTGTTTTCTAAGGTATCTCTGAGTAGGTTCAAACCACCCACCTTGTGTCTAGTAGTACAGAGCTTAACCATTTGCACAACCGGAGGTCTCCTGTCAAAATGTTTAAGCATCAGAAAAGATTATTCAAAGAGAAACTGAGTCCAGGAGAGAATGACACTCACCAGAGTGGGGCTGCATGAGACACACTGATGACAAAGGCCTCCCCCGTCTGTCCAGAGAGAGTGCGCCCGCTCTTATCAACAATTGTCCCTGAAATCTGAATTAACCAATTAAACTGTGTCAACAGTGGAAAATCAAGTTAAGAAGACAGTTACAAAGACAACCAAAAATGAGCAGGCTGATTTTCGTTGTTCTCTTACAATACAACTGTGTAACTCTAAGTCAAAGGCAGCACATTTTATAATGGTCAGGATTAACCAAACCCACAGCCAGCAAGTCGGGTCCACCCCACAGTGACTCCACCAGGGCAGAGGAGAACTGCCCCACAGGGTTTCCAAGGTTGTGACCTTTGTGGAAGCAAACTGCCCACCTTTCTCCCACAGAGAGACTGGTGGGTTTGAATCAATACAAGCACGTAACCACAGTGCTACCAGGGCTCCTATGGTTAGGAGACACATATGCAAACTCACCTGGGATTGGGGGCTGGCGAGGCATATAACAGAACAGGGAAAGTCACTGAGGCACACCCAATGAGCAAACACTCCTTAGATTTCAGAAACTCAGTCCCATTAGAGAAAGCTTTCCCAGACACCATTTCACTCTCACCAAGCCATCTCACAACTCTGATCTGCTTCCACAGAGATTCCATACAGTCTAGGAAACCCTACAGGGCAGTGACCCTGTTCTACACAGTCACTGTAAATCAGAGCTGGAGCCCAACAGAAGTTAACAACAATTGACTTAATCAAGCGCCAGCCTGGTGTCTTCTTCAGCATGGGGTGCCTTGTAGTCAGCGCAGAAGTCCTCCCTCCTGGGCCCCAGTGAAAACAGGTGGCTTCATTGGATTACTTTCTAGCAGCCTATTTTACAACAACGACTTCTAGACTCCTTTTCTGACTATTAATTCTAAGTTATTGCTATAGAATTATTGGTGAACAGAGGAAATTAAAGTAAGGTGGCTTCTACACGATACTATGGTGGCTTTTTTAAAGGTCCGTGGAAAAATGGAATGAAAAAGAATGACATTTTCCCACAAACATTTTGAAGTCTCCTCACATTAATAGTTCTACTATGTAAGGGATGGAGGGGAATAGCACTTCAGATGACAATATTAATAAAAAACAAAATTCATTTTTGGAAAAGTAAGCATTTAGAACTTACAAAGACAGGATGGGGAGCATACTCCTCTTCAAAGAGTTCCAGGAGTGCAAACAAAGCTGCCTGTCAAAAAAAACAAAAACATCTTTCATCTTTCTTTCTAAAACGATTATGTTCAGGTCAGTTTAGTTGGCTGATCAGTGTTCTCTTTTCCTAGACCTTCAGATAAAGTCCACATGGCGTGTTCAAGCACAGCTCAAGCATCCCTCTCTCAAGTGTAAACAGTAACACAGTGAGTTAAAGCAAAATAAGGATCCACTGAGAGCTCAGCTGTGAACTCGTAGCTCTTCTCTGGAGGAGCGGAAGACCTGGTCTTTCTTCTTTCTTTCAATGAAACTAAGAGTGTCCATGTCTTCTTTCACATCTGTACAGAGGCATGGTCAGTATAAGAACCCAGAGTGTTGTAACATACACAAGAAGGGTATGATATTAGTTTGGGTTGTACAGCTATGACTGCCATGTTACCTAGGGCTGGTCAGTCATGTTTTATTCAGTTTCAAGCAAAACATCTTCCCTTGATCCTATTTCTTGGTTCTAAGATATATATTTTTTCACAATTAATTTTCTGAAATAAGAATACAACCTCTAATTAATGTGTAATTATTACAATCATTGTAGTGGTGGATTACTTTCCTACGAAGCTACTAATCCATAACTTTCAGAGTTTATTTTTTTAGAACCAGACAAATTAATTCTAAACAAGTCATGGAAAATAATCATATAAGAATAGTCAGGAGAGGAGGAACAAACAAGAGGGCAGATCGGGTGGATGTATAGCAGAGAGCTCCCCCAACAACAACACAGAATACCCGACCAAGCAGGCTCAGGGGATGGTCCCAGAACTCTGAACCA